AAACTTACATTTTTTTTACAGATCATATTCCTCTTAAATAACCATAAAACCTTTTACAGAGGCCATGTTCCAATAAAATTACGGATTTATGCTTTGATTTAAAAACAAGCAAACAAGAATTTATATTTTCTCTTGAATGAGGAAAATATATTACTGTTTTAGATCTCCTTTTGTAGTGCTATCTAAAGCAACAAAGATGATGTATAGAATAATTTGGGAGGAAAAAACTCTTCAAAATATATCTCAAGAAAGCACAGTGAAATAACACACCATGGGAGGAAGATGAATCCTCAGCTAGACATCCTCTAGTCCTCTCAAAAGGACATCACAGGCCTAACCCACAAGCATGAGTGCTGCAAGGAACACTCTGTAAGGCAGAGCATGGCTCTGTTACTACAAAATAATGTGGCTGTTTGGTGGGGTCACTATTTTGTGAGTGTGCATGGGCATTAGCACAAATCCTAGTGTCTGTTCTCTCTTAGGCATAGAGTCTTGGCCCAGAGCAGCCAGCTTGGTGCCTGGGGAAGTGCTCATACAAGGCTCTTCCAGGTACCATGGGGTTTGCAATGCTATTTCGTCCTGTGGTGTTTAAGCAAGCAGCCTCAGCATAGCCAGAAGGAGGGGTCTGGGAACAGCTTTTGAAGAGATGTAATTTCCATTGGCATGTTCATTTGGCTTCTGTTTAAACCAATAAACTTAACAAATATGTCATCATAATGCTTAAATGACTAATGAAATTAAAGCTAAGGTAGTTCATAATAGTAATCTAATCAGAAGCACATGATTGGAAGTCAAATAGTTCTACTACCATCTTATCTATTGTCATCATTTAATAAAAATGAGTTCCCAAATAAGGCATAGGTGAAAGTTAATTTAACCGCAAGGGAAACATATTAGAAAACCTACATGTAGTGTATCTACATTAATAAATTGGGGAAAATTGAAAACAAAAAAAAAAGATCAAAAATATTGTTGAATCCGGAGGGGCAAGTAAATAATTTAGGGTTGAGGAAATCTAGAGTTGTATAAGGCTGATGTGTAGAGCAAGAAACAAGCTTGGGTAGAGAGTACCAGCTTGGCACAAGGCTCCTCATTCAGCCATTCCCTGTCTGACTTGTGGCAAACAACTGGCTGCACCTCCCCAGGAACTCCCAGGCTCCAACAGACCGCAGGTATTCAAACATGAGCACGAAAATCCTGCTGAAGAGAAGTCCTGGAGAAACCCTGAAATGTGGAGTTCAGAAGGATTTCCAGTGGATCAGAGAAAGGATGGTGACATGTCATCTCTAGCAAGAACCAAGCTGCTGTGCCTGTGATCCCCTCCATGGGTACCCCTCCCCTCCTCCTCTGAGCTTTCTGGCAAGTACTACAGGGTGGGGTTTAATCATATCATTTGAGCCATTAAAAAAAAAAAAAAAAAAAAAGTTTTAATAATTTGTTTCTCTAGCTAGTGATTGGAATTGGTGGCTTTGGGAGAAAACCCTCTCCCGATAACCCTGTTATACAATGTGACAAGGTACCTGCTGGATTTTCCTTCTTGATCTCTCCTCTCACTTCTCAGATCATTGAGGGAGTCTAGGTGAACAGCTCGTGGAAGAGGCCTTATTTTTAGATGAAAAAGTTTCATTAAATGAATTCTGCTTTCAGCTTTTCCTTTCATTTCTGGAAACTACCACTATGTCAGATTAAGACTGGCAGTTTCCCATCCTGGAAATGCACAGTGAAGGACTGCCTTTACTGAATCACACTTGATTTGATGTTTCTTGTGTTTCTGTGTTTGAAATAATTTCCTACATGTAATTATACACTTAAACAGTATTTATGTGCATAAAACAGCTACACAGTTTTCCTGTTTTCCAAAAGAGATTGGCTTGCTCTAGGAACATTTTGCTTTACTACTGTGTTTTTGGACTAGATATTGCTACTGAGGATACAAGTAAGGGTAAAAGACTGTTAATTGTGCTTTTAAATTAATTGTACAAAATGGTCCCGCATGAGGTCACACATTTATGCAGACAAAAAATGTGTACACAGTGTACAGAAGTGTAATTATATTGAACTCACACATGTGTAATAAAAAAAAGTTGGAAATTTACACTGCTTTAATAATGTGCCAAATATTTAATTATGCTTTTTAAATTCAGATTCAAGTAAATCTTCTGAATTCTAAATAATCTGTCTACTGCCATGACACTAGTGTCTCATTCATCTGCTTCCTGACAAAAATCTGCCTCTGTCAGATTTTGAGTGAGTGTAACATTTAAAAAGAAGTTCAATGATAGCCAAATCCTGCAGTACTCATACTGCTAAAACCCAACTGCAAATTGGAAGCGGTTAGAAATGGTGAGAGAATGGTCTGCCTTTGTTAAATCCTCCATTTCAGGGTTTAACAGCACAGTTCTGGAGACTGCAAGGAATAGTCCTGCTTTCATATGACTCATTTGATTTTGATTTTTTTCAATGTGATGGAATATACAACCCCATGACCTCCAACGAAATTGCGAGGATGTAAAGGAGAATGGAGCTTAGGCTTTAATAGTGGTTGTGTAAAAGCCTTTCTGAATTAGGCTGAAAAGAGCCTCCGAGTGATACAAACTTAACAGCTTTTAGGATTTTGCTCACTGCGGACTTCAGAAGCCTTGTTTCCCATGCAGCCAGTGGAGGCTCACGGCACCTCCAGGCTGGGCTGCCACAGTGCCTTAAAGATAGGTGGCAGGTCTTAAAATGCTGCCAGATTGTTTAAGAGGTAAAATGTCCTGGATCCTTAATTTTTCTGCACATGGTCATCTGAATTATGACACTTGGCGCAGTGTCCAGCAGGAGGGAGACCCTTGCAGATGCCAGAAACAGCCTTTTCCTTCTGTAGTGGGAGCAGTGATGGAGCATTTACACTAGGATTTGCTCAGCTGCCACAAGACTCATACAAGGTAAAATAATCTGAACACAACAGGCTCCAGCACGTACATGGCAGGGAGTGCGACATCTTTAAGGACCCAGAAATAGGACTGGCCCCATGTGCTCTGGAGGAAAATTAAGTGCAGGTGCTGGGACTCAGCCCACAAACCTTCGTCAGAGCTGGCAGGTTTAAACGTGCTTCCAGCGCCCAAAGTCGGGAAAGATGGTTTCATCCCAGCTCTGTGGGAATGGGTGTGTGCCTACTCCTCCACAGCTAATAAACATCAAGAGGTTGCTTGCAGGAGGAGGCTGTTTCTCTAGAGAGATTTGAGACCAACCCTGTGCAGCTGGGAGAGGGCAACACATGCTTTTTTCCTGTGAATTGAAAGGAAATACCTCCTTTTTTTTATGCCAGGCCAGGGACAAAAAGTGCTCTGTACTAGAATGGTACTGCTGAGGGTGTTATCCTGGCAGACTGGAGGCAAAACCTGCTTTTTCAGAATTGGCTCTAAGTACTGTTCTGTTAGGTTTGGTCCCTTCCTCCTCCCAACAAAAAGTGCAATGGAGCTGCACCGGGGTGCAACCTATAGCCCAGAGTCCCCACTTTGCTGGGGTAAGAGAGTGGTTGTTGCTTGCAGTCTTGTTCTTAGACCATTATTTTTTCCTTTTACAATGGCACAATTTCAACTGGTACAATTTATAGGTAAAGGAACCTATAAACCTGTCTTCCCCTGTCTCCAGTAGGCATCATCTTGTCTTTCCTCATTCATCTTGTCTATTCTATAATGAGTAGCACTATCTCTTAAAAATCAGGAGCAATGGGTTTAAACTTTCCTTATACTGAAAGGAGGCATCAAACCCCCATTTTCCAGTCCTTGACCAAGATCCTCAGGCTACCGTGCAAAAGATGATTTGCAGAGGGTGCTACCATTTTGGAGGAAGAAAAGCCACAATGACACCACCATGCTTTGTGGTGTACTGCCAGTTAGCACTGACATTATAAATTCCTCCATTTATTGAGAATGAAGAATATTTTACGTGAATCTAATACAAAGGGAGATGTATCCTATTCAGACTGAAATACAGATTTTTCTACAGTGGATCAAGCTGCCAAGTTTGACACAGCAGTCACTTAAAAAATACATAAAATTCTACAAAACAGAGTTATAGAACAGCATTTTCCAGACCCCTAGTGCCTTAACCTGGAAGTATGAGGTTTCAGGCTTCCCCTCACCCACATCAATCTTTTAAGGACCTTACTGTTCTAAATTTATTTATTCTGTTTCTTGGTATAAATACCTGCTTTCTGTAACCTGAATGTTCCTATGGCACTGGATTTCACAGATCATTATGCAAAAATACATTTCCTTTGTGATCAGTCTCTTTCACTCAGTTTAAAATGTCTACAATAAATCATAAAGTGTCCCAAGTTGAAAGAGACCCACATGATCATCACAGTCCAACTCCTGGCCCTGCGCAGGCAACTCTAATGTTCTGGGTACCTAAGAGCATTTCATCTCACATAGTATTTGTATATATGTTGCCTGGTATTCACAAAATTTCTCAGTGAGGGTGGAAAACATGGAAAATCCAATAACAAACAAACTTTGAAGGTCAAAATTGTTTGAAACGGATAGATTATTTACTACAAATACTATTATGTCAACAGCCATACCTTTTGCCAGCCTTAATTTGTCTCAGTCTATTGATGATCCCTTGTGGAATGTTCCTCCATGGCTCCTCTATGGTTACAGAAAGAGGAAGGATCACTTCCACCTATGGCAGCAATCGACAGAGCCTTGCTGAAATCAATGGCATGACCTGCCATCTGAAGTCATTAACGTAACATTACAGCTATAAAGTCTGGGCCAGCTCTGGCTGGCAGGCAGGTGTATGTGCCAAAGGGTTTAATTAACATCAGTAGCAGTGGAGTGATCCAAAAAGCCTCAGAAGAACCGCTCTCCTTGCTCACAGCTGAGACACGAGCTTGCCCTGTGCATGCATTTGTGTTTGCTTAGGCAGCTTTGGTCTTCAGATGTACTCCAGGCAGAGCAGTCAGAGCTGAAGTCACTTAGCTCTTTTATCTGTTTTGTCCCTTTTACTAGGCTAATGATCTGGACTGATTTTGCCCTCCTCGGGGAAGGTCTTTGCTTCTGGTCCATGTGCTATCCATTTCCCTTTCTGCTGGGATATTTCACAAAACCACTCAAAAACCTTCATCCCTGCTTCGGCTTTCTTCTGGGAAGAGGATCTGTATTGAGTCAGTGGAAGCTATGAGTTAGTCTGGAGCCCATCCAGGGATGGGTGTTAAGAGCTTGCTGCATTTCAAAGCTTTTCTGAAGAAGGCTTCACACACTCCTCTTGTAAAGCAAATGTCCGTTTTTTACCTCTCAGCCTGGGATTGCTGACGTGAGACTGAATATAGATACAAGAATTGCATGAGCTTCAGCCATGCAATCTGAAATGGGATAATCCCTTTTGCATTTTATCACAGGAGAGCTCTAAAGATAACTGTGCTGATATTTGTGGAGAGGTCCAATTTCCCAGCAATTCATGCTTCAGAGGAACACACGAGGAAAAACTGATTACCTACATTTCATGCAGCTCAGTGCTTAGTCAGAGTGACACAGGACCCCTGCATGGAAGACTTGGAAAAAGAGGACTGCTGAACAGCTGCCCATCACACAGCATCCTATGCAACAATTGAAGCAGGAGTGTGGAAAACACCGTATGTGATCATGTAATTAACAAATGTACCATAATGCCTCAGCATAAGGGAGCTAAATTAAGCTATGGATGCATAATCTAGCTTGCATGTAAGATCTTCATAAACTGTATCCCTTTTATTGTTATCAAGTGGATGCTCCAGGCAATAAACAACACTGTAGTTAGATTTCCTTGCCTGGGCACACAGCTGCTAAATTCTGCATTTATTAGTGGTGTCTGAGAGGGAGGCTGCTGTTATTGATGAGAGACTGTACAAGGAATGGTTGCAGTATTGCAACTCCCTCTCAGTAAAAATGGCTAGGAAAAATGTAGCACTTAAAAATTACTGTGCTTGGGGAGGAATCCACAGCATTCTACATGGCACCTGAATAAGTGGAATATAGGATAGTTTTGAACAGAATAACTCTATGGACTGAATGATGGCTACTTCCACATATTTACCTAATATGATGCTCAGCATGGTTGTAATTGTGTGTTTGGTAATGGCATTATTAAGCTGAATTAATGGTTCGTACGATATATCTTAATTCTCAATAAAGGTGCTTAAATATTTCAGGCTCAGAGAGACTACTGGGTGCGAAAGATATATGTGAAAAGGAAAAGACTGATGCGCCCATTTTTCATTTTCTTTATGGATGGACCTGATAACAGTCACCCTGCTTCACAGTCTGCCTGGGAAGAAATGATTTACATTTCTGCTTTGCAGCATGTTGCCTTCCCTGGGTGAATGCCATGCTGGGTATCATCCGGCTCACCGCTCCGTGAAGACCAGATTCCTCACTCTGAGCCATGACAGGTCTGTGGTCCACCAAGATAAAACTTATTAATGTGGAAATTTCATGTACAGTAAGGGGTGTTGGAAGGAGGGCACCCCCCATGCACTGAAGGATGCTGCAATGCCATCCACAACCTGAGCTGATTCATATTTGTGTTTCTCACAGAAGTGTTAAAATGTACACAGCCTTCAGTTACCAAATAAATGCAATACCTGCATCTGTGTCTTTGCAGAGAAAACATGTTTACCCATTGTGGGGTGGCTGTCCAAGCAGAAGGGTGGCCTGAGACCCTGATCTAGATCATATTTTTCCTAGGCAGGTGCTGGGTTCATCACCCTTCCCCTCCAGCCTTCTCTTGTTAACCACAAACAAAAAGCACAGCAACATTTTTCACTACATTCTCAGAGATGAGGTTACAAGGAGCACAGGTGGGTCCCATTTTGCCATCTGTAAGTGTTCGAGAAGGTAATTTGTTGCCTCCCTCTGGTGCTGGGGGGTTCTGTTAGTTGCCATTCTGTGCTTTGTATGCAGAAGGTAATACACAAATGCATGTTTGATACAGATATTTGCCAGAGGCTTACAAAGCTTCCCATATGGCATCTCCATGCAGTGCTCATGAGCTTGGATTTTCTCTGCACAGAACTGAGGCAATAAAATAATGTCTCTGTCAAACTGGAAACCTCCAGAAACCTAACTTAATGCCTCAGAAACATTTAAGAGGTTCTCTTTATTTGAATTTTTAAAGCATCTGAAATTTCCTGAACTTTAAAATTTGTGTTCTAATTCTCAACCTAAATGCCCTCTGCTCCAACCCTTTAGCTTCTTTTTCTCCTCAGAAACCAAGAAACAGCTTTAAAAGGTTGAACGGTTGTGCTTTAAAACATGTACTTTTGAAATAACATTCTCATTTAGAGTAAGAGTTGTTACTGTATGCTGAAAGTAATGCTTTCTTTTCCTTTGTGTCTTAACCTTGAACACAGGCTTTTCACCTAATTGTAGACAAGGAATGTTTCTGCCCACTTTCTAGCTTTAGTAATTCCCTCTCTAAAGAGAACAGTGCGCAGAGGCGGTGGACAGTTCCTAAGGACAGAATTTATCACCTGCCACCCTGCCCCATCCCCTCCATTGTCCTAATAATAAAAATCACATGCTGATTTCAAGAGCCATACTAAATTTGAGCCTCATGTTTAATTATGACTGAGAGGGATAATTTTCAGTCAAGCTTAATGTCATGTTACGTAGTGGTACATAAGGTCCTTTTTTCACCGGGGGAGATATAAGCACTCATGCTTTTAATAGCTCATTAATTAATTAATTTGCTTCGAATAGCAGAATATATGCATGGTACTTCTCAAGGATGGAACATATGGAGATGGAACATAAAAGGTCACACTGAGTTGGGTGACTTGCCTCAACTCAAGTGTGGTACCTGTGTCTGGCCTGAAGGCTAACTGGTACTTTGGTTAACTGGTACTCAATTCACCTTCAGCACCCACAAAAAAAGGCAACTTTAAATATAGTAGAAGAGAAAGCAATCATCATTTAAGAGAAGTGTGCTGAATGCTGGTTTTTGTTTTGCCTGTAGTCCTGAAAATGGGACAAAAACATTTTGGACAAAACATTATATCCCAAATGAATGTTGGAAAACCAAACTAGATTTAATTCCAATCTGAACTGTACTTCGGAAAAAAACACCAAAACAAACACATAATATTATCATTAAAGGTCACCCAGTGAATCCACAAACTATCCTAGTCATCTCCCCACTGCTGGCCAGTCTGTGCCTTAGTAACTGCCAGATCTCAGTGACCCAAAATTTAAAGAATATTTTACCCCTCATATACCAACTTTGTGGCATGGAAAAAGCATTTAGCCCATTGGCAGAAGGATTATCAAGACAGTGGGTTGTTTAAGAGCCACGAAGGCAGCTTTAATGTGGAATGAGGACAAGAAACTGTGTTAAAATAAGGGAATTGAGCCCAGCTCTTCCCCTCCTTCCTCTTGTGCAGGCTGTAGCTGGGACCAGCCCCAAGCATGCTGCAGAGCCTGCCAGTGGGTTTTAGGAAGCCTCTCACTGTGGGGCACCTCCAGGTTGAGGGCTGAATCCTGTGTCCCCAGGCCTGAGGTGCCACTGCCAGTGGCAGTGCCTTCCCCAGTGCCTGACTGTGACAGCCCCACTGCTGCCCCTTTGGGCCCCGTGGCTTGTGAAATGCCAGCCAGGGGAAAACTGTGTACCGAAGGTCACAAGATAGCTCTGCATCTGACCTGGCAGCCGTACCTACATCTTGCAATGCCCAGCAAGGCATCCCCCAGGTTCATGTGGCTCCAGTTTGAGAAAGGAGCTCCATATGGAGTCCACATTAAATGGACTTATAAAATGGTAGAGATTTATGGATTCAAGGTCTTATCCAGGCTGTTATGGTGATTTAGAGTTGGGTCAGAACCAAAACCTTTGATTGCACACACAGATTTGGGTGGCATTTGAAATCTGGATCCACTTCTAAAATCTGCATCTGACTCATCTCTAGCTACAGACATGGTGTTTTATGGTTTTATTTCTATTCTAGGGGGACATTTTCATGCATGGCTTGTAGCAGACAGAGAAGGTGGGGATCTGTATATGATTTATATTCAATGTAATGCATTCATAAGTACATCTCTATTTCTCTAGCACTTTGAGAGATGTAAATATAACTTTATTCATTTGCTGCACTAGGAAACAATGCAGCTCCCTTGGCAACACATCAGCCACAGACAGGAGTTAGGCAGAAGAGAGATTCAAAGCCAGTCTCCTAATTGACTTTTTGAAGTTATAAGCCATTTGAAGCAGTAAAGGCAGTAAATAGATCAGTTTGGGGAGAGTAGAGAAGAAAGTCTCCAATCTTTATTTAAGTGAATGCTGGAACACTTCAAACATTTTGTGAGGATTTTCAAGAAGAATCATTTCTTGTTTTGCTTTAGTAAACCACTCTGTTAGTCAGACTGTTGAAAAAAAAAAAAAACCTGCAAACTTTTGATATTATAAAAGGTTAAGACATCTGGTTTTTAAAACCCAGTAATTTAATCTCTGTGTAACAGAAGATTGTATTAACCTGGAAGAAAAATCATTTGTTTAGTTGGGAAGAAGTGACCTCATTGAATATAACTCACTTATCTGTGGGTTTAGGTGAACAGCTTTTTTTTAAATGGATCAGGAGAACAAGGTGTTCAGCTGGCTCTGGAAAAACAAAATATTATTTTCAAAAAAAGATAGTGGCTGTTTCTTTCTGTGGAAAATGTGAAGTCTAAGAGGAGTAAGGCAGAACAAAATGAACATGAAAGCAAGAACACATTTCCATATGCTATTTTGAGATCTCTGAGTGAGACTGAATCCATTTCCTCATGGAAAAACAGCACACACAGAGTGGGGTATTTCTGTTCTCTGACCAACACACCTATCTGCCTGAGGGGAGACAAAACCACCAAACTACACTTTGAATTCCTGGGGCAAAACACCAATATCAGGAGGTTTTTATCAGGAGCTTGACATCCTCTGCAGGCAGCAGCGCCAGTGTGCACTGTGACAGAGCTCCCTCTTGGCTGCTCCCTCATCTCTGTGACCCAGGGGAGGTCCCTCTGACCAGATTTCTTCCTCCTTCAGCTGCCACTTCACCTTTCTGCTGAAGCATCCATGTCCAAGGTCAGATTTTAGGTCCTTTTGGGTTGCATTGACATATTTCTCAGCTGTGCCACAGAATCCTTGCTTCCAGCTCTGAGATACCTGACAAAGTGATGGATGCAAATTTACAGAAGATGCTGCGTCATGGATCCTGAGACAACTAAGGGAGAAGAAATTTGTGGGTGAGTCAAACTCTAAGGATCCCAGTTCCTACAGCTACAATCACTGCTGCAATGGAGGCACATGGTTCTTTACACCATGCTTGGGGAGAGTCAGACATACAGCAGGACAAGCGTGAGAAGTCACCATGCTGAGAAGGGAGCTGTTACATCATAGCCAGGAGGAAATAACAGGAAAAAAATAGGACTGCAAAGCTGACTAACTTCTAAAACTGCAATAACAGTAATTCTTAGCTGTACACTTCTTCCTGGAGCTAAATTTCTCAGCCAGATCAGTGACATCACAGTCACAGCTATCCAAGGGAGATGTTATCTTATGCATTCAAGATACCTTGGCATACCCAAGAAAGGGGTGACAATGGAAAAATAAATTAAAAAAACAAGACTAAAAACACAGGAGTCTAGATTACTGTAGAGCATTCGATGCAACGCCAGGGGTCATACAGGTAATTTGTTTTAAAAGGGCTCCCGGGGACTTTCCCTGTTTTGATATTCTTTTACAAGTGCACCTTACTTCAGTTAGATTTAAGCTAATTATTTAGTGGCCAGCACTGACTCAAGGAAAGATAAGAACAAACTACAGTAATTTCCACTCTGCTCTTCTTGCTTCCTGCTCATGCAGAATGTGTAAAGCAGCATGCTAGCTGGGCTTGTGGGAACCTCTTGTCAAAACCAGCATTACTGAACACACAAGCTTCAGTTACTCTGTCCACACAGAGGACCAAATTCTGTGAGCTCCATGTGATGATGGAAATGTCACCAATGTAAGGCTGGAATCATAGAGCAAAATCTACCCTCCCTGTATTCAGCAATGCCCAGAAGCTCTTGCCATGCAAACTGCTGGATTTACAAGGGTCAGTGTGTCCTTACAGGCCCCCAGAACGCTGTTAATAGTGCAGCTAAGCAAAGATGAGAGCTACTTGCTGCTAAGAGGCTTGATCCCACCTTCCCCTTCTTCTTTTCACTTCGAGCTTGGCAGTAGCTCTTGATTCAGGAGTCTCTGGGCAGACAGGGGAGGGCCAGCACCAGGAAAGTGATGTGAGTGCAGGAAGAGCCACAGAGCACTGCTTTCAGAGACAATCAGCTATTAAATCAAGTCACCTGCAGCATCAAATTGCAAGGCCAAAAATGGCCTCAGATCTTTTCCAGTGCAACTTTCCTTTAACCAAAAGCCCTGGTGAAGTATCTCACTTTCTTTCTATTCCAGGAGCTGGATGGAGGGTCCTGCTGCTGCCGCAGGCAGAATAAACAGCAGGTTTCAAGTGTGATGTAGCTGAAGAGCACTTGTTTGTGCAAGAGGATTTGGGTGATGTTATTTATCACGGACATTTCTCACTCCGTGTTTACACATCTTTTTAGCTTCCTCAGCTTATTTGTGAAGACATTCCAGAACAATCAGCAGAGGATGTAAAGCTGATAGCTTATCACCCAGGCACCAAGAAGACACATGCATCCTGATATATATCAGGATAGAGGAAGGAAGTGATTTAGTCCCCTGGAGTGTGAATGCCGGTGCTCTACAGCTCTCAGAAGCCAGCACATAGGAAAGATTTCCAAAGGCTGGTGAGTAATTGAGTGCTGACTTCTTCAGCTGTGTAGAAAACTACAAACACAGCAGCTCTGCCATATTTGTGAAATGTAAAATGAAAAGATATTGATGGCTGGTATCTGCAGCTGGGTTTGTTCTGCTATTTAGGTCTTGTTTCAAATGGAAAAAAATTGGAATAATATGTTAATGCTTACACTAACTGCATTCACATATCAAAACTTGGACTATAGGCATACAGAGCAATTCTGCCTCAATTATTGTACTTCTGGAAATGTCCTACAGGAAAGAGATGGCAAGGCAGCCTGTTCATGTTCCATAGCTTTAGATACACTGGATTTCATCCTGATTTTATCAGTCTAGAAAATAATAAAAAAGCAATATCAAATCAAGAATATGACTGTTCAGATTATAGTTTTTAAGAGGATATTAGAAAGGTTGCAGTTTTTCCTTAATGCCTTCCTGGAGTCCTTAAATAAACAATCAGATTTCTAGGTCTTTGTAAATCAGTCTAATACCTTTTGTCTTTGTTCACTCTCTTTTCCTCTCTCTAAATTTTACAGTTACATGTACAAATATTCAAAGTGAGACCAAGTCTGAAAATTATTTAGGCCCATAGAAGCCTTGGAACTTTAACAAGGAACTGCAGTCCTTCCCCCAGACCATGTAATATAGCTAACATGTCAAATTAAAAATGCCTTATGCTGTGAAGGCAGAGATGTAAGAAAGGGCCAAGAACCTTCATACCCCGAAAAGGAATAGAATCCTCCATGCAGGGGGCTCCCACAGGTTTCAAATATATTCCTTCAGCTGAAGTGTTTCCTGAAACATATGTGCTTGTATTAAAAACAACTTAAGGTCTTTTTTGAAGGTTGAGATCAGAAATTTGTTAAACAGCTGACCTTGACTTTAATTGAATTTTATGTTTACATCATTTCACATGAAAACTTGGCTTTAAATTTCTTTTTTTTATCTCTCTGGAGATTGCACAAATCTGGGAAGCAAAACATTTTATTCCACTGCAGACTGAAATTTGCTGTTTTCACAGTAAATGACCATGATGAATTGGTGCCTGTGACAGTGGAGCCAGTTCACAGAGACATCACGTCCTCTTGATAAAGGGTCTGCTAATACTGTTTGCAATGCAAAAGCTTGGTCATTAGCCATCAGCTTGATAGCTTACATAGCCTTTCAGTCTCCCTTAGTAAGGGTAAAAATACAAGAGGGGGTCAATTCTATCCACTAGGTAGTTAAAACCTCTTTCATCACTCTGGTCACCAGAGGTAATCTTCCAGACAGCCATTCTGAAGTGTAATGCAGCTATTCATTAAGAAGAACTAAACAAAACTATACCTTCAAACTATGGGCATAATGCCTTGCAGCACAAGAGTTCTCTCAAATAAAGATCTTTTTGCCAGCTCTGGCTTAGACCTATAGTAAAATTCCAGGTACTGCAGTTCCCAGTCAGTGAGCAGTATCAGTTCTGTGCTATGTCATCTTGAGTGTTGGACATATCAAAAGTTCTCCCTTTTTTCCTTTTTTTTTTTTTTATCTTAGTCAATAGGGGATTGATTTGGCCTAACACTTCATCTAGGTCTATACTCTTCCATGTGGAATTTGAGCTTCATTTTTAACACAACCTGCAGCTGTAGCTCATTGCTTGAGACAGACTGACACAGTTTAACAACCAATCTCTGTCTAAAACTCGCAATTGAAATGTTCAGAATGAAAGGGAGCGTGTAAGCCCATGAAGCACACTACCCTTCTTTAAGGCATTCTTTTTCTTCTATCTTCTTAAATACATGGAATCTACCTGTGATTTTCTCTTCTTAGAATAGTATATCTCCTTGCCAGAGTTCTGTGAAGTTATCCGACTCAGGAAGGAATGAAAGAAGTGGGATTTGTGAACACTCAAGACTGCCAAGAAAGAGGCTGAATGCTGAATGTAGCACAAAATCTCTTGGGTTCCAAATATTTAATCTTCTTACAATTCTATAGAGTTAGAGGCCAATACTTATTTACTGCCTTCATACTACAGTAACATACACCCCACCTAAGAACCAACAAATTTTGCTTTTCATGGAGACAGCATCCTAAAAAGTGTCTGCAGGCAGATTTAAATCTCAAACCATTGCAAGGGAAGATCATCAATGACTGCTGCTGCCGCTGCTTTGAAGACTGCTCCTGAAGGAACTGCCTGCTGCCATCTATTGATGCACTGTAGGAAGGCGCTGGACCAGCAAGCCCCCGCTCAGGTTTTTCAGTGAATTTTTTCTGTGCTTGGGTGAGAAATCCTGTAGATCTGAGATCTGGGACTCAGAGAGAAAGCCCAACTAGGTGACTCAAGAGCAGCAGAATTATTTAACATAAGCCAAGATTTCACTACAGATAAGCCTTATCTCTGTGGGCTTAGGATGGCCTGCACTCCAGAATCTTAAAAACCACGAATATCCTTATTGCATCCTCTTTCCCTTTCCACTCCTGGGGAAGCATTAAGATCTTGGCTTCTAGGGGGCCCACTTTATGGAGAGGTCACAGGATCCATCCACTATTTCTGCAACTAAGAACTGGATGAATTTGTGATTACCACCTCTGGCCAGCACCCACAGCACTGAGGTCACTTGGGCTGGGTAAAGCTAGGAGCCGCCTAGCCAGTGCTGGTAACACCAAAATGAGAGTAGCAGCCCATGGCAGCAGCAAGCTCCCATGACATCAGCTTTGTGTGACACCACTGCAGCTGCAACCACTGCAGGGCAAACTGCATCTGAAGAAAGGGGGTGATAATCAGGCAGCCCTTCCTAAAGGGCAGCTACCTTTGTCCCTGCAGTCCATAAAAATATTTTCCAAGTAAAGAGAAGAATAAGGGTCTGTTGAGCCTGGTACTGGATCCCTCAGTCCCAAGCAGCTCAGCACCCTTGAGGTGACCTACCCAGAGGCAGTAGCCAGAGTGTCAGTCAGCTGTAATACAAGCCAGTGCTCCTGCACACTCATGGTGTACACTGAGAGAGCACAGAAGTATCACACTCACCAGCTACATGCTGCAAAGTTCAGGGTACAAAAAGAAAGAAGCAAAAACAGGCTTAGGGATAGGGTTTATTTATGGTCGGCACCTGGATTGCCAGTAACCTCTGGGATGAGTGCAAATGGTAGGGACTGACTGGTGGCAAGTGACTGCTTCTTTGTAAGCACAGAGACACTAAGGAGATTTATTTGAATTTCTTCAATGTTAGGCAGCAAAGGGATGGGAAGGTTTCAGTCTGTGAACAGAAGCTAGAAAATTATTACAGAGCATTGTAATGAAAGAAGCAAGTTTTAAAGGGGAGTCTTTACTCATTATCTGATCCTAGTTAACCCTGGTACGACAAATGACAGTAACATCTTTGAGTTAGTCCCTGTAGATAGCAAGAGGGTGTAGAGGCAGGAGAGAGGTGAGAAAAGAGCTGTGATCTCACAGGAATTGATATTTCAGTTACTATTGGCAGGCTGCTGATTAAATGCTTCCATGATCTTCTTCTTTCCTCCTTCCCTTTCCCCTTATTCAGTTTGAGACTGCATTTATGTGCAGATTTGGATCCTGAAAGTGGAGAAGTACTGACCCCTGAGGTCCCCAGCAGAGATAACAAGACTTGGGTGCAAGTGGAAATTGGGAGCTCACACCTCTTTTGTTTTGTAGTCTTTTAATAACTTAATTTTTCCCTAAGAAGTGCTTCCTCTGGCTAATGCCAGAGGATGGTTTTTATGAATGCTTTTGTATAGCCTGCACAGAATAATGGGGTATCAGCAGAAGACCCCCTTCTGCCCACAGTTTTCATGCTATTTTATGAAATAATCACAATGCAATTTTCAACCCTTTGAAACCTGGGCTTTTTCTATTGAGATACACATCATATATGAGGGGCAAATAAAGCAGGAACAGTGATAACAAAACATCCAAAACTCTTGATTTTTGAACCTAGGTATAGGCTGTGAGAAACAGACAATAGAAAATCTTAATCAAATAACAATTAAAAATTGCACCCTCTTATTTGACAGGGAGGCCTAGACTTTATATACCCACTGTTTTACTTCATACTTCTCAAATTTCAATTAAATTTCCTTTGGAGTGTGAGCACAAGGAAAATAGGTTGGCTATCTGTCTCGAGAGAAAGATAAACTTGACAGACTATCTCAGGAGAGTCCTGTACATTCTAAGGGTCTGAAAGTTTAGGCTTAGGAGAAGATTTGGTTTATAGACTAATTTCTAGAAGGATGAATTTTGAATTATGGAACCAACCAAGGCTTTTGTCCATTAAGATTAACCATTCTAACATTTCATCCTATAGTTTAGCTTTTCCAGCTGCTATCTGGTGCACTGGGTAACCATTAGCATTTCAGTTTGGATCCTTGTGTTCTGTTGACGTATTCCAGGAAAAGTATAGATTGAATATTAGGATTTTCTTCATGGAAAAGGTCCTCAAGCTTTGGAAAAGGCTTCCCAGGAAAGTGATTGAGTCCTCATTTCTGAAGGTATTTAAAAAATGTGAAGATGTGGCACTTTGAGACATGGTCGAGTGAGACTTGGCAGTGCCATGTTAACAGTTGGGCTTGAGGATCTTAATGGTCTTTTCCAGCTTAGATGGTTCTGTGGTTCTGTGCTCAGTATGCAACCTGCTTCCATGCAGTGATATGGAACTGGTGGCTCCTTTGACCAGCATTGCATACAATTTGAACAACTGCAAAGAAAATATTGACATAGATTCAGCCTACAACATGTATTACTTACCAAGACTTCCTAAAGGCAGACAGTGATAAATCTGGCTTTTTTCCTTTTTTTTTTTTTGTGGACATAGGTGGTTTCAATTTGTTGCTTAAACTGCATATGGAAAAGCCTACCATGAATAATTTGGTAACAATTTTATTTCAAAGTCAAAAGAACGGTCATGTAACTCCTAAGTTGCATGTATGCATTTAAAAACAGTACAAGTAAGAAGAGAAGTGAGAATTTAAATTTCTATTCAATGTTTCTTTTTTACTTGCT